GTACACACAGGCTTGGACTCCTGCCAGCCGGGCACACACAGGCTTGGACTCCTGCCAGCCGGGCACACACAGGCTACTACTTCAGGAGGTACGCCAAGCTCCAGCCCCCTGCTCTCTTCTCCCTGGAAGTTTCCTGTGAAGCACATTTTCCCGCTCCAACTGAGAAGGGCCCTCAGTGTGCCACTGACAACCCCGCAGGCTTCCTGACCCTCAGAAGTCACCTCACCACCCGGGAGCCACTAAGAACTTGGGCTCTGCCACCCATGTCTCTCATCTACTGCCATGAAAAGACACTCTGAAGCCAAAGCCACACGCGCATGAGCTTGCCAACATCCGGGGAGAGCCGCCTGAATGGACCCCTAGTCCCTGAACTTGCTGAAGGCAGTTGCACCTGCCCACCTGCCTCTCAGCCTGCCCCCACCCGCCCCCCACTTCAGCTTCTGCATAAATCCATTCTTTGATTTGTAAGCCATGTTGACGTGATAACAAGTGCACTTGGATTTGACACGGTCGGTGTTCTTATGTTTTGGTTTTTGGTTTTTGTAGGGGTTTTGAGGTCTAGTTTCTATTAGGCTCCAGGCTTATCTTGTTTGTGAAGAAGTGACCTTTTTCCTTTGAGGAAAATTCCCATTCCCAGGACTTGGATTTTCAGGATTAATTCTGTAAAACTGTGAAGACTGGATTCTGTAACCATTAGGAGGACAGGAATGGGAGGAGGCTCTCAGTCTTCGAAAAGGGCAGAGATGGAAACCCAGCCTTGGGCACCATTTTCCAGCCTTTGCTGGTGGCCTGACCTCTCTGCTGTCTTTCCCAGTCACAGCCGAACTCCCCACCCCACCACTGAAATAATGGCCCAACTAGCCAACCATGAGGAGGCCGAGGTCCCTGAGAGAGAGGGCCATCCAAAGGATGAAGGGAACAGGAGGTAACACGTACAAAGATGAGCTCTATGGGCAGACTGGGCAGTCCTGCCCCCCAAGAGGGCAAAGGAGACAACATGGAGAAAATATCCAGGATCAGGGGAGAATTTATTTTGCACAAGACCAAGATGAGAGCGGCTTTGGGATCCGGTAGATCCAAACAACTAATAGCAAGGCTTAGGATCACAGCACACTGCCAACTGGTCAAGAAACCTCTGTGCACCTGTCTTTCACATGTTCTGGTTTGGCTTTCTTTCTTAAATCTTTTGTTTTTCTGCACAAACGCCTTTGGGGAAATTCCAGTCTTTTCATAGATGGCTGGGGTGGAAGGAGATGTTCACTCCCAGGAGCGGACACCTTGTGTAAGAACTAGCACAGGTCACCGTTGGTCACCTCCGCTCCTCCTAAGTGGAGGGAGGCACCAATACAAGTTGAGTAGCTCAGGAGGAAGTCCCATGACTGGAGCAGAGGGCCCTAAGTCCTTGATGGAGGAGTAAATGTCCCTGGAGAAGGAGCATAACCACTGAAAATGACAAGCTGCAGAAGACTCGAGGCAAGGCAAGGTCACCGTCACGGCGGTTCTGTCTTTCCACCTCTGCACAGGGCCGCGCCATGGCTCAGTCTCCATCCCTGCCTGCCTGCCGTCTCTCCTTCCCCTCACCTCCCCCGCTCCCCACTGCTCTCTCTGCTCTAGGACAGATGACAGACACCAGGGCTAGGAGGCCAAGCAGGATGGGGACAAGTCTCACAGGCAGGCCAGCTGTAGACACGCCCAGGAGGAAGAGGGGAAGACAGAGGACTCGTGTGCCAGCAGCCTGCCTGCCACAGGCTGGTTTCTCCCGTCACAATAAGTCCCCTCTGTGTCCTCTGACTTTGCCCTCTGTTCCTCAAAACCTCCTGAGCATTAGACCCGTGGCCACCTCTCCTGAGTGGGTGGACAGACCTTGGGCGAGGTCTGTGAGCCTGGGGGATGATTGTCTCCTGCCCCACCCGTCATTCCCCCTCCTCCTGGATGCTCCCCACATCTGGAGTCACCAAGAAAAGGCCATCACAGAGCAAAGCCATCTGCCCTCCCACTTTCTGTTGGAGATGGACTTAGCAAAAGTGAGTCCCCCAGAAGATGAAGGCCACTTTTAAAGGCCCAGAAAACTCTAGGACCGTTTTCTGCAGCTTTGATGTTTTGCTTGAACTATCTCAGGCAAAATGGGAACAGAAAGAGGCGTCCTGAGACAACTCCAAGAGACCAGAGACGGCTTGATGGAATTCCACCTCTCGGGGTCTCTCGTCCCATTTGCCTCCCTCCTGCAGTATATTTCCTCTTCTCCAGCTCTGACTCTGCCCATGCCTGTCCCTTGGGAAGAGAGAGGACCCTCCCGTTGGCTTCAGGGCCCCTTCAGTAGCTATGTCCTTATCTGGGTCCCACTGCCCTCCAACCTCTTGGATGGGTCTGTCTCTACTCAGTGGCATTTCCAGTCACTGATGGGTTCCCTCATTCCTGAGTATGCACAAACCATCCAAGATCAACCTAAACGAGCCTCACTGAAGGCCGCCGTGCTAACTCCCCACGTACTGGGGATCCATCATCAGATGCAAATGTGATGCTGCGATCATCACTGCCCTAGTGCCCCAGCTGTCCTGCCGCATCCCACGTAGGGAGGTTTGTTCTACAGCCATCCCAATGCTTGCTTGGCTCTCGGTCCATGGAAATGAGAACGGAGAGCAGCTCTCAGAAGCTGACTGCTTAGCTTTGGCTTCCACAAGTGCCGCACCGCTTCCACCGCCCCACCCGGATCTGAGCCTCGATGAGTAAGACCATCAGGAATGGCTTGTGAGCACCAGAAAAAAGTTGGAGGGGTTTATGTAAAATGGAAAAAAGTTAATACTTTCTCGAATATCGGAATGCTTTCTCTGTAGATTAGTAGAAACGTGTTCTGTGGAAAAGGAAATATAAAAGACTTTGAAGACACGGCAACTAAGCTAGCTAGCTCACTTCAGGGCTTTCTCCCGCAGCCCTCTCAGGGGCACCCTCCGCCCGTTTTCCCTTGTCTCCATCTTGCCTGAGCCCTTCTCAGCCTCACCTCTTTGTCTTCTCTGAAAGAAGAATCTCTGACCCATCTGATGGCTCCCTGTCCCCCATATTATCTCCCACGGTAGAGAGCCCTCAGTCTGGGGACCCTACTCCAGCAGACTTTTCACTTCAATTACTGCTGGAAGATCATTCTTTTGCTCCCCATCCCTCAACAGATCCACATGAAGTATAATTTCGATACTCAACAATTATTTGTTCTTCTGACACCACCTTCTTTCTCTAGCCACTTCACATGGGCCCACTCTGCACCCTAACCCCCAACAAATGCCCCGGATACAATGACTTGATAAAAGGGAACCCAAACTGGTGAGAGTAGGAAGGGCCAAGGGAAATGGAGATGATGTGGGAAGTTCTTTTCTTCTGTTCAGAGCCTTTCTGAACCGTCTGTTCATCCCACACAGTATTCAGTCAGGAGTGTTGGCCAATACACACCCTCTCTGCCCAACAGAAAATGGCTTCCTTTTCCCTCTCTTAGGGGGTCCTTCCCTCAGCCTTTCTAAGATTTACAGTGGCCCCTGAGTCAGTTGACACTTGTGACAATGATTGATAGGAATTTCCAATGGAGTCTGGGAGTCTTGAATCTAACACCATTTCTTTTTCCCAGGAAAGACAAGTAGGTGAGCTCCTGCTCAAACCCCACCCCAGCAACCACAACAGCTGTTATGTCTAAGGTGACGCTGCTCATCCATTGCCTGCCCACATCACATCCCATTCTCATTCTCACCTGCACGCCCCACACACGCCTCATTTCTAATAGGTCCCATTAAGATGGGTTTGGCAAGGACAGTCTCTCACCACTCCTATTTATGAGCCTCTGGGTTCCCAGCTCTGATGCAGAGCAACACCCTTAGTCTTCCGCTCAATCCTTCCCTCTCATTTCCCCAATGGCAGAGTGGCTTCTGCAATTCTCCTTAAGTCCAGGGGGGGAGACAAAGAAGGCAACTGGAACGGCCTGTTTTCCTGGCTCTTTCACTGCTTTTCCACTCCTTTCCTAGTCCATTTGAATTATCAGGTGGGCGCAGTCCCTCTGCTTCCCCCACCCACCCACCGCACAAGGAGCAATAATAATAGCTAGCACTTACTGAGTGACCACTATGTGCCAAGCATGGTTTTTTGCTCAGCATTTCTGGAACTCCAACCGGAAGCCCCCATGATACTTATTTTCCCTTCATCATGCACTCCATCTCTTAACTGCCTCATCCCCATCTCTCACTGCGTCTTCTAAAAAGCTATGTGGCCATCCACCTCCATCGTTGCTACCCCTTTCAAAGGCGGACTCCTCCCTCTCTCTGCTCCCGCCATCTCTACGTGGTCCAGGAATCATCACATGGTCCAAGCCTCTCCCACCCCACCTAAGCCTGCGCTCAAGGACACTCCCTTGCAGACAGCCCATTTTCATGAAGGACACAACTCCTATCCCACGCGCCTCCCTGGAAGTCCCCATCAGTGACCCCATCATTTCATCCAGGTCCCCAAACCTATCCTGGCCTCAGCGTTTCATACACCTACAAAAGCTTCAACAAACACCTTTAGCCTTCCGAGGGCTGCCTCCGTCCCCAGTCCCCGGGGCCTGCGCCACCAACTTCTTATCAAGTCCCCTCTATTAAGTGACTCGTTCAAAACGACGCTCCCTTGTTCTCTGGGAGAGCTCATTTGTACTTTTAGACCCTCAAATATATTCCTTCTTTAGGGGAGACATTTGCCCTTCACCCTTTACTAAGAAGATGCTGGATTTTGAGTTTGAAATATGGCTGAACGGACACTGAAAAAAAGAAAAAAAAGAAAAAAAGAAAAAGCCGTTACCCAGGAGCCTCGCGATGGCCGATAACTGCCACCCTGCCTACAAGACTTATCGTTCATTGGGCTATTGACTTGTCAATCACTTTGGCTGGGCCAATGAGCAGCATCGACGTCACCGGAAATAACGATTGGCACCCAGGCCCAGGGATTCCGGCTCTATGAGCAGGTGGCGCTGGGTCTCCTCCCCCTCGGCTGCTGTGCTGTTTAGGCCTGCGCATCACGGACAGGTGGGTGTGGGCAAGGACCGTAGAGTCAGCCCAGACCCCCACGCAGGTTGAGGCCTTTGGAGGGGACGTCAGGGAGAACTTAACGTGCAAAAAGAGTAACATCAGGAAGGCCTCGCTGACCCCATTCTGCCCCATCCCTGCGGTTCCCTCCCTGCCTGACCCGAGCAAGTCTCTTTGGTCATCCTGGGGCTCAGTTGCATTTTCCTAAGGAGAGGGTTGCTTCCCCATGGTCTCTCAAACCCTTTTTCCATTTCCAAAGACTCCATGCCTCCAGAAAAGGAGGGCCCAGCATAACCACAGGACAGGTGGTTGCAAACAGTGAGGGAAGGTAATTCTCAGAGCCAGGAGGGTGGCCCTCCACCTTAGGGACAGCTTTGGAGGGGAGTGGGGGTTGCTTTGCAGTGCCTACCCAAAATGGTGGAAGGGTCTAAAATAA